ATCAATAACTGACAACTAAGATGTAAAGTAACGGAACTGTTTTTTGTTAACAAGAACCCGCGTGATTCAAACAGTAATAAACTGCCACCTATGAGAGGTCAGGACTGATGAATGAGATAGACTAGCTTAACTCAGATATTGAGTGGGATGGAGGTTTTCTAATCCTTGCGATCATCTTCGAATTGATGGTAAGGCTATACTGCTGCCTGGTTCAACCTTCCAGCAGAAGGCACTTCTAATTTCCAACCAATCATTACCAGTTATCAGTCGAGAAGAATCATTGATAGATAGGGGCTTTTCAGAGATATGGACGGAAGTGTTTATCAATCGAACTTTGAGAAATTATGTGACGTGATTGTATCAAAACTGATAAATATATATCTTTGATAGCCTGTCAACCGCATCCTGGAATGGCTACCGGAAATAGCAAATCGAGAAGTTGAAGAGACAGAGCGACTAGTGAGTCTATCAACTGTTCGTTATTCATTTACAACTATGGAGAAGCCTTTTTATAATTTTAAAAGCAAACTTTACACAAATTTTCTTTATCAACTTCTCCACGTCATCTGATAATTCATTAAAGCTCTCTAATCTTATTGTCGTATGATAAGAAATCTTTTTTAAAAGCTTCCATTCTATCTGACCGACTCAGTTATTCGTTCATTTGGCTTTTTCATATTTTACTTTATAGAATGCAACTTCTCCTTTGTTTCTCAGCAGTCCTTGCCTTGGCTTTGGCTTCTCCAGTCATCCAAGAAATTGCTCCAGTCAAGAGCGTTGATGCTGTAAGTGTAGATAGGTGAAGAATGATCTTCTGATCTATCAATTCTAGGGACTATTAGCCTATGCCGTTGACTTGTCCCAACCTGCCACTAAGTCCCAGTTCACATGTCTTCAAAACAACGGATACAGTGTAGCTTTCATTAGGTATTTCCTTTTAAGATCTATGTATGTATACAAAGCTTGATTCCAGAGGATATTCTCCAGTCAGCAACGGAGCTTTCGATAAGAACGCCTGCAACAACATCTTCAATGCTTACAACGGTGATTCTTCAGAGTAATTTATCTGAACTTATTTTTATATTTCAGCTGGTATGGGTACTGAGGTGTACATGACTCCTGCTCCACTTTCAAGCAAGAGCGGAACCACTCAATTCAACGAGATGTACACTGGCCTCGTCAACCAAGGAATTAACATCAGAGCTGTCTGGATTCAAGTTACTTCTCCAGTCAACTGGAGCTCCAACTACAACACTAACTTGAATGTAATCGCTAGCATCAGAAGTGCTGCTTTTGTAAGTCTTCCTAAAGCATTATATTTTAACTAACCTCTGTGTCTCTTTGCAGGCTAAGGGAATTCGTGTTGGATTCTACAGTAGCGCCTACGACTGGAGCCAAATCACCAACAACTACACTGGATACGCTACATCTGGAGATTCTCTCTGGTAAGATAATGCTCACATAATCATTCAATAAGCCATAACTTGTTAGGTATTGGAATGTTAACGGTGGTGGACTTTCCGGAGAAACTGCCCCCAACTTCAGCGACTACTACTACTTCGGTGGATGGGCAGCTCCATCTGTTAAGCAATACGCCCAAGTTGAAAGTGTATGCAGCATTACCGTCAACAGAGATGTCTATTCTACCTCCAACTCAAATCTCCAACAAGCTAAGGTTGATGGCAAGGGACCAGTTGTCGGAAACTTTGGTTTCTAAGTATTTAAACCTTCTTACAAAGATATCAATAATAAAGTCTTTATTTTTTGAACATGTATTGTATTATATTTTGTTAATAAATTATGATGAAACATATCAGCTTTTAGCTTTTCGATAATGACATTTCAAATGAGAAGTTGAGAGTGCGACTCTCACTAATGATTATAGACTAGAATAGAGAGTGAATAGTGAGAGAGAGAGAGAGACAGAGAGAGAGAGAGAGAGAAGATACAAGAGATAGAGAGATTTAAAAGAAAAAAAATTAAAAAACTCAGAGCACAACCGTTCAGTACGTCAAGAACATAAAAAATGGCTGAATAGTGAGGTACGTGGGAAAGGATAAGCGTGTTAGCCACGGTTAAATATGCAAATGAGGGTGGACAAAACACATTATGCAAATTGATTTTCATTTATTTACATTAAAATTCATTTTTTTTCTTGTTTTTGAAATCGTTTTAAAATTTTTTTAACATTTTGAAGATAAAACTGTTTTGTATGTGGATGTACAGGAATATCAAAGATGATTGGATCATTTTTCAAATTTAAATTTTCATTACATTGACTGCAATTAATGAATTTCGTATATCCATCAGATGTACAACCATATCCTTAAATATATATTATTGTTGTCATAGTTAACTATATCATATAGCTTACCTTCATGAATATGAGAAAATACATGATATTTGGGTTTTATTCTCTTTGTGACTGAATTTAAAAGCTCAACACATCCCATTCGTTGACCGTTTGACATCATATCACCATGTCCAACAGGAGGTGTATGTGTTAAGAGTACATCAACACCAGCTGGAATCTGGTTCCATTTATCAAGCAGAGCTTGCCCACGCGGTAAATTGAACGCCCAATTGTCTACACGTGGCTGCCTTCAAATGGAAATATCAAAGTAGTGAGCAGTTATGATAAATAAGACAAACCATGGTGATCCATATATAGTGATACCAAACAACTCTATCACTGAATCTTCTAAATATATTCCATTTGTGATCAATGGCTTAGGTGATGAGAGCTTTGCAGAATTTAAAGCTGTTTGTAACGCCTGCTTCAAAGCCATTTCTTTAGCTTCCGTTTCACGATCTGCAATAAGTATGTTAACATGTGATATATGGGTGAATGTGGATACTTGATGATCGTAAAAATCCTTCATCGAATGTACACTCATTGTTACCAGCAATAACTACTTTGTAAGAATGCTTAAGCTGAGCTGAAACGAAAAGCATTGTAAGTGAATGATGAAGCATAAGGTAAACCTAAGTTTTTATTAAAACTATATACTTCTTTTGGAAGTCCACATGTAGTGAAATCTCCAACAATCAAAAGAACATCTCCATGTGGGATAGTGTTAGGATCTAATCTGAAGCCATGTGTACAACCTGAACAAAAGAAATCGACGTGGGTGTGTAAAGCTCAGAGCATGTCTTACCGATACAAACAAATCGAACATGATCAGGCTTAATGGGTGTATCAAGTTTCATCTAGAAAATAACAAATTAATCATTGAAATGTAAAATTATTCTAAGAGTGCGGAAGTAAAAAGTATTCTATTCACCTGTCGAACAGGCTTCACAGGTCGTTTTTCACGAAGCATCTCCCATGCTAATGTCGGATCTTCCGTATACTGATGAGTTGACACCTGCAATGCTTATCTTAAGAATTGATTAAGGTGAAGTTTGAGTGATTGTTGTTGTTTAAGATAAGATGATGATGTCTGTCAATCATTTGATGGTTTTTTTTTTGTCGAAAATTTACTTATAAATACATTTGTCTTGGGTCCTGAGACGATGGATTCCCGTCGCAAGTTGGAAAGCCGTCGTCTTTGTTTTTCAGCTTCTTTTGCGGCAGCGTTATCTTTAAGAATAGAAGCTGTTCCAAAAAAATTAGTTGATTTAGAGAACATGGCTACTGTATAATGCTGAAATGATCACAAGTCTACGGATTGATCTATTAATGAAACAGAAATAGTAAGCAAGCGAACTTGTGACGATTAACAAACTAAGATGGAAGATGGCCGACTAAGAGAACACAAATCAATTTTGGATAAGAAAAAATCAAAATGAACAGCTGACAACGCTTGAATGTAATGTGAACTTTGATGACATTCGTTCATGAATATTGTTAAGAAGCTTTTCGACAAAGTATGGTTCTTGAACAGATTCAAGGACATCTCTTACTCTTCTTGAGGTGTTAAAATATTTTTCTAATTGGTTACGGTGGATGATAATGCATCTCACGAGGAATAGAGAAGCTCATTAGTTTGGTCAGGTGGTGTGGAGGCAGAAGATCGTCCAAGACAAATGGGAAGAAAGAGAGGTTAAAGCAAAGAAGATGAACGACATCAAGACCTCTAAATGATATCTCAAGGATGGTAACGGTGAAATGATGATGAAGAAGAAGAAGAAGAGGAAGAGCTCTGACATTCCTGGATAGCACAAGGTGTTAAAGATATTTTTATGTTGACAAAAGTAATTTATCAGATAAACTCCATGATAAACATCCTATGACTTCACAGCATGGAAGATGCATCTATACTCATGAACTTGGGTAATGAAATCAGAAAAAAGGTGTTTGGAGAGGTGAAGATAAGAAGGAAGTTGTAAAATTGGAACGAAAGAAGAGAAACGTTTGAGAGGAAGTGAGTTGAGATTTCTCGAGGAATCTATTTGATCCGCATCATTATGTGAATGAGCTTCGAAAAATTGCTTCATGATGTTAGCCACAAATCACTAGAGAAAGGGAGATTGAAAAGGAGAGATAGAGAGGGTTAGAGGTGAGAAGACATACCTTCACCACCTGAAATACAGGAGAAAAGGTGGAAAAAAAGAAAATGACAACTAGGAAGGAGGCGTGTTTACAAGGTAAGCTATTTTAAAAAGTGAAAAGTAAAAAAGAATTTTTTTTGGATGGAAAGATGAGACTGGTAGGAGATGGCAGAACAAGAAGAAGAGGAATCTGACCATTGAACTGATGCGACATGATGACAGCTAAATGACAAGAAAATGATGAGCAAATGCTTTTGCAGAAGACGAGATGAAAGAAGGCAAGAAGGATGACAAGTTACAAACTGAAATGATGAAAAGAGGAAAGAAAAACTAGCATTTGCAGTACGATTATACCTAAGATGGCTGAGTTCAAAGGGATAAGTTCAAAACGTCGTCGGTGGTGTTCTCTTGAAAGCCAATTGTTAGATATCCAATGATTGATAAAGCTAATGAAGGTCTGATCGAAAATCACAAGTGTTTTACCGGAAACGCCAATCGATCACCGATAATTTCCAAAAAATATTTGAAAGCTACGAGTGAACAGATGGAAAGAAAGCAATTATGAGGATTATTTGAAGAGAAAAAAAATATTTTTTTTTATAATCAAATGATTAATGCACTCATCATCAAACGCATGGATCAGGATGAAGCTTAACTCAATGGCGAAGATCCAAATAAGGAAAACTAACTTCATGTATTTGATTTTTTGAATTACTTCGATCAGAAGTACTGCTTGAATGTCTGCGTATCTTTCCAGCTGATGATGGTTCGGTCATGAGAAGTAAAGATGGACCTATAAGGAGATGAGATTGAATGTTTCATCTGCATATGATGCTCACGTCGATGATCAAGTGTTATGGAGTTAAGACGCTGAACAGGAGGATCTTCTTCCAATCCTTCCAATATTCCAGTAGACTTTCGTCTACGTACTTGTCCCTATGATATCATAATGATAATGTAAGTATGATGAATGACTTACAAATTCATCTTTGACATACAAGACAGATTGCCTGTAATGAGATAAGCGAATGAGAGAAGATATAAGGAAAAGCTCAAACCTCCGATCTCTTTCCACAGAAACTTTTAATAATGCCGGACTGAGCATTGTCTGAACGAATTGAAATAATGAGAAGAATAATAGCTAATAAGTGAAAAAACAAAAAGAAATTGATTGAAATTCATTGAGATTGATCAACAATATGATGAATGTTGTTCACAATCATCAGACACACACACAGCACACACATAGCACACACCCCAGACGCTATGATAGATCTTCGTTGAAATAAAAAACCAATTTTTTCATTCTTTCAACAAGATACTCTCTAAAAAAACATGATATGAATGTTTCAATAATTCAAAATAACTTTTGAAATTCTATTTATAGAATATCTTGTTGAAGGAGGAGGAAGAAGCTGATGATGAGGGGCGATGAGGAAGTCAAATGAATGAGAATGCTTGATGATAAGCCTTTAGCCGATCCTTTAAACCGTTTATCTCATAAAACCTGAGAGGTACTCATTAACAGAGAAATTAAAAGATAAAAAAGTGAAAGAAAGGGAAGAAGAGAGAGAGGGAGAGAGAGATAGAGAGGGAAGAAGACGTCTCTCTTTCTCAAAAATAGACAATTAACTCGTTAAACTCAAAAAATGCCCTCAAAATAAAATTTGTTGCAGAAATTAAGAAGAAAAATAAATAAATCAATCATCGCTGAATCACAGAAGATTTTTATTTTTAAAAACGTCTGATTGTTGTTTGAAGGAGGATGTGTGTGGCAATGTTTCATTATCCATCTACGAGAACTTTCATATTCAATCAACTGATCAAGAGATAGAGAGGGAGGAGATGAAGGTGTGTGTGTGGGGGGGGGATGATCTACTAGGAAGACAAGACAATATGATTAGAAAGGTGAAAAAGTGCTGTTAAGAGAGATAACAAGATGGATAGAGAGAGAGGGAGGGAGAGAGATAGATAGAGAGGGAATTGAAGATGAGATTCCAATTATCAACAATGATATTAACAGGTGAGAGAGGTAAGATATAGAAAGATCGGAACTTCAATTGAATTTTGACATTTGCCCATCACAACAGTTGTTTTATCAGCTATTAACACACAAAAGACTTCATCAAATCATTAATTAAAAGGCGAAAAACCACAAAATAAAAGTTGCAAAAGCTTCTTCCATCTCGAAGGATGGCTCTTCTCTCTCAACAGCTTTCTCCATTTCGTTTATCATTCGACCTCTTCTCATCTTATCCTCTATCTATCTCATCGTCTACCACCCTCCATCCACATAAGCATAACTGATGATGATGACTGTATGTAAGTAGGCGGCAAGTTGCAAACTAACGCTTATGCTAATTAATACACGTGGCTAGAACTTGCAGCAACTTGTTGTTGTGGCAGAAGAGATGAAAGATGAATAGCGTCTCGGAGGGTGCTCTGAAGAAAATACAAAAAGATGGTACTTGTTAGTTTATTTAAAATTTAAAATTAAAATGATTAAGAACGAAAAGCTGAAAAGAGAGAATCCAAGAAGAGAGCCAGTCAGTTCCTTGTTTCTATCAAATTAACTTTGAGAACTTTCATTTCAGTGTTGATGCGCCGAATAAATGAACAAGTGCAGACGATCAGGTGAGAATATAAACGTTTTGAGAAGAATATTAGAAACATTACAGGATTCAAGCCATTGCTCTTGTTCTAGCATTTGCTGTTTTCTTAGCCTTATCCTCATCTCTTAATGCTGATATGCTTAGACGATTTTTGAGCTTAGTCGATCCTGTACCTTTGGGTTTACGAACGGCCGAAGAGGTTTATCCTAGCGGAGGGCTCTCTCAACAATCAATGAGATGCAATGATTTAGGAGAACTTTCGACAATTCCCAGAACAAACCTATCTGAACTATGCCGTTCAAACTTATCCGAACAAGTGTTCATACCGTATGAGGTTAGCATAACAACATGATGAGGAAGATGTTTTTTGTTAAAGCAACACCTGTGGTCACATCAACTGTCTAGGTGAAATGCTGGCGGAAGGATTGAGATGTTTGGGATCGAACGATTCCATCATCTATTATCATGAGTCTAGTCAATTCTATAAATATGAGCATCCCAAAGCCATGTTAGAAATGATAGATGAAGATTTCTGGTTTGACAAAAATAATATTTTGGCTCGAGCTGCTGTTCTTATATTCCGTCGGATACAGAGTAAGTTTGTATGAGTTAGCCTCCTTTCATTATTATATTGATTATAAGGTCGAACAAGCTACTTGGAATCTGAGATGAAGATAAACATCCTTATTATGGCTTACATCCAACGCTTCTTCATGCTTCTGGCCCACAATAAGTTTGATCTTGAGGCTACAGCTGTTGATTGGAAAAGAGATTGCGCGAACAATCCAGACTTCAATCAACTCAAAGAGAATCTCTCTGTCTTTTCGAAATCTTATGTAATTTTCACATATGGATTGAGAATTGCTTGTTTGATCTTTTGCAGGTTATGTCTGATAAGCCAACAGCTGTGATCTGGTTCAACAAGTATGATCTCAACAAGATCTTTCTAATTTCGCCAAGGTAATTAGCCAGGAGGATAGTCGTTAATCAACGATCTATGACGTTTCTATAGAGGCAAGCCTGATTCAATTCAAAAAACTATTCAATTTGTTCACAAAATGCACAATCAAGTTGTTACATTCATCATTTCTTCAAAAAACTAATTTTCATTTTTCATTAAGCCCAATTATGTTTTGGCATTGAACGGTGAGAGACGACCGTTGCAAAAAGCAATTTCATTTTTGGTTCGCAAGCATCTATATAATGATTTCTATGAGAAAGCCAGTTAGTTCATTATATATATTATAATTATAATATATATACTTATATAGTTCGATATCAACAGAAAGCTTACTTTGATTTCATTGAATCCAAATACATCTGTGAAGTTCATTTTCCCTTTCACTAGACCATTTCAATTGATCATGATGTTTGCAGAGAAATTCCGAAATTGCTCAACATCTGAAATCCATTAGCATTCCTTGTGAAGATGTTGATCTGAATACTGTAGAAGAGGAAGATGTCTTTTACAGTCTCATCCTCTATCATCCACCAACGCAAACGCTCTTCACGTATGAGAACAACGTAATGGCTCATGGAGTTTAGAATGCAACCGCTCTCTTCCTGTTTATCTCGAACAAATGAAATGAAGTTACGTATTCCACGTGATTTCTTTTTTAGCATTTTCACGTTGCTTTCCGTCTATTATGCTAATTTCATTTTGTTTTTGCATCAAATCTCCCCCGATAACGAATGAATCTAATAAAAATCTCTTTTTTTTTTGTTTTATTTGAATCAAACAGGAAAATGTCTTTCGAGTCCATAATCCTTTTCGTGAGAATTGCGTGTCTGCCAATTAATGAACCGATTTCTGTAATGAAACAGAGTTCTTCAATTACTATTATGTTTCTATATAGTTACTGTAGCTTTTCTCTCAATCTCTTCATGCGGTCGCTCATCAAGTTGTGCGGAACAATGGACGTTGCCTGCAATATGAACTTCAGTTTCAATGAATCTCACAATCAACGAACTTCTATTGGTCGAGGTGGAATGACAGCTGATGTATCCAGTGAATATGAGGGCTTCGCCTTAATTTTAATTCTTCTATTCGATATATTCTCTTATAGCATTACTTTTACTTCCTGTTTCACATCTCTCAAATAAGGATTTGTAGCTTTCTCTTTTGGAGGACAAGGACAATACTCAGCATCAGCACCTGGTCTTCCAACTTTACCGGGCAGTCCATCAGCTCCATTCATACCTATGAGACCCTTCAACATAACATTAAGTTTTAATCGTTTCGTCCCTATTTTACTGGAGCTCCTGGAGGACCACAGAATCCGAGTGCTCCCATTGGTCCGAAGTCTCCAGGCTCGCCCGTAGCTCCTCGTGGCCCACACACTTTATAAAAATAGACTTTAGAGTAATTAAATGGCATGAACATACGTCCAGGTAAACCTATAGAACCTGGTAATCCTGGCGCACCTTTTCCACCCACGATTCCATCACTTCCAGGACTTCCCTGACACACGAATAAATATTTAATGCAATTTAGCAGTTAAGTAACCTTATATCCTGGAACCCCGATTCTGCCTCGTTTACCTGGGTCACCTGGCTCTCCATAATCACCTGGCTTGCCGTGAGTGCCTGGAGGTCCGCACATTCCACGAACTCCTTTTCGTCCAGGATATCCAATGACACCTACATACATCTAATATTCTATGAATTGAACTAGACCAATCTTTACCACTTGGACCAGGTGGCCCTGGTGGTCCAGGATAACAACTCTCACAACGATTGATAGATGATTGATCATACGTATTTCCCAAGCCATTAGTAATACTAGAGAAAGCATTTTGTCCATCAATGCCCGGTCTTCCAGGAATTCCATCTTCGCCCGTATCCCTTGAATAGGAAGAATACGTACTGAGAAACACTCTTAAGTGCTTTTCAAACCCTTTAACACCCCGTGGACCAGCCGGCCCTACAGGACATTTGAATGAAACAGGCAACTTGGAAACGTCGTAGTTTTCGAACGCACAACAACCTAGAAAATTCAAAAGTGTTTTGACAAACATGCGTTGCGTGTTTTAAACATTTGATTTTGCGATATCCATATCCATATTTGGGAATTTCATATGGAATACTTGGTGGTTGAACGTTTGCAAACGATTCAGCATCTTCTCTGTTATTTACACATAAAACATGAATAAATGATATTGGTATACCTATATTGGGCATGTCTTGAGTATAAAGAACGTGATTTTCGTGTATTAATCTGAACTTCTTTCCATAGTTGCTCTGTCAGGATCTTAAAAGACATTCAGATCTTTTCTCTCTTTGTAAATCATATAATGACGACATACGGTAATCTCTAGTAAATCCTTGTTCAATTCATCTTCCATACTATTCATTTCATTCAAATATAAAGGAATGCAAAGAATAAGAATGCTGCAAGAGATGAACGATAGGCTAAATGCCAAGTTTAAGCATTTCCTGGTAATTGATATATCCATGTGGATCTCTGAATTTTTCTTCCTTCTTTCTCTTTTTTATAATTTTAATAAACAAAAATATTTTTTAGAAAGCAGTGTATGAGAGAGATAGAGAGAGAGAGAGATGAAGATTGAGAGAGAGAGAGAGAAAGGAGTGGGGGTGGATGGACAAGGAAGAAAAAAATAAACAAATGAAACGTAATTTAGAAAGAAAAAAAGATTTTAATTGCTTTGAATGAGATTCTTCACAATGGGAAGCAGAAGCTTGGATTTCACTGATAAGCAATTAAGGATAATAAATATATTTCCGGACTACTTGTCCATTTAAAGACAATTAGATGAATGAGTAAGTTAGGCGTGGGATAGAGATCATGAGAGAGAGAATGTGAGACAGTGAGGATATGAGTTGATTGTCAAAAGCAAATTATGGATGAAGATGAAGAAAATTTTGAAACTTATTCAGATGAACAATGGCTTTTATATGAAAGTCATTTGAATGAAATATAATTTTCAGAAAATTTTTTGAGTCTCATGTCAGGTTGAGTTTCATCATAAAGCTCAACTTGAACCAGATTTGCAACCTTTGATGAGTATTGAAACCGGACTATAGTCATCAACTGACATACTTTGTCATCAATTCATGAGATTGAGATCCCACATAGACGCTGTCATATGTGAATATTCTTATTGTAGTATTGTACGTGAGATGAGTTCACGTGTACTCGCCTAAAAGTGGTTCACGTATTGTTCACGTGGATGTATGCATTCTTGTTCATGTCATTTCGAAATAACAGACAGTGACGATCGGTTGGTTGGTTGGTTAGTTATACAGTTTATTAATAAGACCCATATATAGATAGATAGATAGATTGAGCAAGTTAACAACAATACACGTATAGTTATATAAATATATATATGTAGTTATGTAATAGTTAAGTAATTATAAAACTACAAAATTCTGATGAGAATTCTTTTGTGGAGGCAATTTCCTTAATAACGTCGTTGACAGTAACTTCTCACGTCGATGCATCCTGAAACGAAAAGCCGAAATGAAAAATGTTTTTGTTGGAAGACAAATCAATGAAATACTATTATAAATATAATTGTTTTTCGTATATGAATGAGTGAGAGCAAAAAAAGGAAAAGAAAAAGCAAATTAAATCAGTAGAGTTTCATATAATCTACCTTTGTTTTCCCCATAGTTGAGTCCATTTCTGAACCCACACAAGACATGGAGCATTCATGAAAGCTGAACGTATCTTGCCGTTCATGGAGCAGAAGAGAGCAAAAATGATACAAGAAGTGAGAAGTGTGATCATCTCATTGAAATCTCCTATAATATATAATATATAAATAATATTATTGTTGTAATAGTTACCCATAGCATAGATGAGATCAAATTGAGGAACAATAGTTGAGAAGACAGCTAATAAGCCCTGAGGCAATTCAACAATTATAAATACAAACATAATTATCTGAAAAGCGAGAGAGAGAGAATGAGATCGGATATCTCAGTCATGGAACATACCAAAATCATTTTTGTTGTTCGCTGATGTTGTTTATCTCTTTTAACATTCGTAAATCGAGATGATAAGATTCGTAAACGTTTTAATTGGCGAACGATGAAGAACGTCATGACGCTTAAGATGATCTGCAATGAACAATAACAGTCTTCGATACATACTGCTGTACTGGGTACCGATGGAACTATTTTGGAGCAAAGATTGAATATCCAAAAATTGAATCTGGCCAAATACGGTAATGAGGAGAATTGCAATTGATAAGCAGTAGCATTTGTGAGTGAGGGAAACCGTTCCGCACAGCTTTCATTCTCTTGTACCTGTAACTATATGCTTCAGCACTTGTTCATGTATATGTGTGTATAAGGAGTTGATTAGCAATATTACAAACAAACCAACCACACACATACAAATATATAAATTACCTGAGCTACTTCTGATGTGAAATATAATGGAATTCCAATTAGAGCTACGCTTAAGTAGATTCCAGCTATTGTCCATCGTCCTTTCTAGAATCATTTGTATATCAGCTATATGAAAGCTTTCTCTCTCTTTTTCATATTTATATATATTTTGTTTTGCTTTTACAAATATATATTAAAATGAATGTGAATTAGCATAAACCCACGTGTTATTTCACGTGGCGTGTTCGCGTTGTTTACAAAATGCAACGGTAAACGACGTATAGAAATGAGAATGTGTGAGAGAGTTGTAAGTGGGAGTATGCATGATCAACACGAGACATACCTGATAGGTAAACCATGGCACATTCGAATTCATTTTAGTCAACTTGGCTAATGAGCAGTAACGAATTATGGATAAGGCTACAACATGAAAAACCTGAAATAGTAAAGTTGTTTTGAAAAGAAGATTGGAAATGAGAAGAAAGGAAATAAGAAGAAGAAGAGATAACATACTCCAGCCATATGGACGAGAACAGCTAATGTCACGCTGATATGCATCGTTTTGACCAAAAAATATGAGAAAAAGAACGTTAAGCACAGTTCATCTGATGCATACTTGAAGAGAGTTGAATATAGAAAGTTGACACATAGCATGAGCTGCGAACTGAAAAGGAAACATTAGGAAGTGAAATGTTAAAGTTTCATTGCTTTTTTGATGTCTTCAACATGAGACCGATGATGAAGACATCAAACATAGACAAGCATGGGTTTGAAGTGATTTTTGATTTAATTGAATCGCATCTTGTGTGATTCTTTTTTTGGTCGCTTCTTTCTTTTCTTTTTTTTTGCAGAATTTCATATCTGCCGCCTCATTTGCATAAACTATCCCAAAGGCCTTATTGGGGGCCTGCAACTTGTCAAAAAGCTTAAGGAAATGATTTGTAAAACGTTTGTTTTCACCACACCTATCATCAACTTCATTTATTCTTTAAGCTTTTAAAGCTTCGACTCCTTTCTCTCTCTCTCTCTCTCTTTCTTTGTCTCCACCACCTCCTCCGCCACAGCCTTCCACTGCAGGAATACGAAGAAGGAGAAGAAGGAAAAGAAGACGAAAAAAAAGATTATAAGAAGTTTCTATGAAAGAAAATTTTCTAAAATGAGAAGAAGAGAGAGAGATACTCTCCTCTCATTTAAATGTATTCAATTGAGTTGAAAAGAAGGTTGCTAAGATAAAATGAATTGAGATTATGTGGGAATGTGATGATTGAGCTTATAGAATTTCACGTAAGATCACGTGAATGTCACGTGAAAAGGCAACTAACTCTCAATACGATGTTTCATTTTTAAATAAGAGACGTTGATGAGCGGTTGACTAACCAGGACATGGAAATGAGAAAAGCATTAGTTGGATTAATCATTGATGATAACGTTCCAATCGTAACCAGATGACCAACAGCTCCAGCAATACACAAGAATAGAACTAGCGGTGGATGTATTAAACGTCCATAGGTATCCAATAGGAAGTAAGCAAATGCTATCATTCTTCCTCTATCTTCGTCTTCGTCTTATGTCGTCGTCTTCTTCTGCGTCTAAATTCTGAAATTAAGTACTGATAATCTAACAAGAATTAACTCTTAACGATCAAAAACGAAAATAAAAATGAAAAAAAAACAAAGAATAACAAGAGAATTACTTGTTGGAAGAGATAGAAGGGGGGGAGGGTGTGTTTAGTAGGATAGTGAGTTGTGGGAGGAGGGTTCAGTAAGAGAGAGAGAGAGAGAAAGAAAGGGTGGGGAGGGCCGACTAGTGGGGGGGAGGAGAGCAATCAAAAAGCCTGTTCGTCAAAGATGGAAAGATATCAATTTTTATAAAAATGAACTTTTCAAAAGTTCTTTATAGGTCAATCAGTTAAAAACAGACAATTTTTGAGACGATTTAGGAGATAGTCTGATCGCTTGAAACTTCCATTCAAAACACTCACACACTTAGACATAGAGCCCGAAGTCTCCTTCTGGCATGTTGTCCATTGGGGGAGAGAAGAAGTTGGAAGGGGGTGGTTGGGATGAAAAAAAACCGAAATATTTCAACTTTTGAATGCTATTTTTTAAAAAAAAAAATCAAACAAATTGTTTGTCCTTTAGTAATCACAAGTCGTTTTTAAGACTTTTTCAGTCGAAGCTAATTTTGAGGAGACAAAAAACAGCTTAAAAGAGGCTTTTCTATTGCGACATCACCTTTTTCGTCAGCTTGAGCGTGTGTTTCCCTCTTCCACTCTCCCTCTCTATCAATTTATCCCCCCTCTCCCTCTTCCTCTCTCTTGCTATTTTCGATTCTTTAATTTACCTTCATTTTTTATTTTTATCATACTCTCTCTCTGTCTCTCTCTCTCTCTATCTCTCTCTCTCTCTCTCTCTATTGCCATCTATCTCCTTGTGTCGCGTTTTTTTTCTCGAACTTTAACATTATCGAAGGCACACACGAAGATTATTCGATGAAAATTTGAAAACGAGAAGAGACAAGTTGACACGAAAAGAAAATTCTTTACCTCTGTCATTAACTTCTCTCACTAACAATAAATAACTAAATGGCTCCATATAAAGCTGTCGGTGAAATATAAAAAGCGTGGTGAAGCTGCTTTAATTTCAAATCAAACAGCTCTCTCTCTGTGTTATAGTCATTCAAGCTTGTCTCACTCTCTCTCTTTCTACCTATTCCTCTTGCAGTGGTCTTGTCTCTTTCTATAGTTCATGTGACCAATGGCACTTCCAGATGATCGGAAACTCGATGTGCGATCATCAGTAGCAAAGGAAATTAAACAATTTTTGAGCTATAAAAGGTTTGTAAACTAAATGAGAAAAAAAAGAAAAGAAGAAGGAGGAGGAGTAGTTGAAGCTTGTCAAGTTAGGGTTGAGTGAAGTCAAAGACAATAATTTTTCAGAAAAGTAATGCTTACAACACAAAAGAAAGTAATAATCTTTGTGAGACGTCCGAATAT